CGAAATCATTCTATTATTTACACTTGTTTAATTTTGTATTAACGTTACTTGAAAAAAAAATCTAGTTAATTCTCATAATAGTTAAAGTTAAACTATAATAATTTGATTGTTAGTAAAAAAAATAGGTTGTACAAAAAACTAGTTGTAATTCTCATTATAGTTAACGTTAAAGTGTATTAATTTCATTGTTAGTAAAAAAAATAGGTTGTACACAAAACTAGTTAATTCAAAATAAAACATACAAAAAAAATTTGAAATCAAAATTCAAAAGCCCCAAATGGCTCTATTGAATTTTGAATCAATAGAGGCATAGAGCCGTTGGGGGTGGGGTGGGTGGGGGGTGGGGGTACAAAAAATTCTATAAATACTCTTATTTTCTAACATTTTTATACACAATTTCTCCAACATCCAATCTCTAATCTTCATTCTCCAATCTCCATCTTCATCTCCATCTATTGTAGAATTATTATATCTACCATTTTTAAGATGAAAAGTCAAGATGCCGTTATACGGTATAATTTTGATAAGTAAAAGGACCCGAAGACCGGGATGTGGTACGCAACTTGCAAATGGTGCGGGAAAAAATGTAGCATGGGGGTTTCAGGCGGATACGGGATGTCAATGAAGCATATTAAGTCATGTGACAAAGCCAAAGGATCGAGAGGTGCGGGAAGTTTCGATTGATTACAATTTACAAAATGTATGTCTCTTGAAGTTTGTTTTAATTTTCAAATGCAGTTCCTATTTCATTTCAAATAAATGCACTTGAAGTTTGTTTTTAATACTTGTATAAAACTATAAAGTATAAATTATAAAAAAAATACTTTAACCGGCCCGGCCTGGCCCGATGGGTGGCCCGACCCGTGACCCGGGCGGGTGGCCCGGCCCGAACCGGACCCGTCCAACCCTCGGGCTGGTTCCGGGTCCATGTGATACAAACCGGCGGCCCGACCGGGCTTAATTAGGCCCGGCCCGGGCCTGACCCGGTCCGAGTCCACCTCTAACTAGCATGATAAGAATACTCTAGGAATATATAAATAAGGAAAAACTATCAAATAAGTCCTACTATATCAAATTAGTAAAGCAACTCCGAATTATAAAACCCTAGCGCAACTGGCCGATGGCACGATGTAGAATCCTAGGGAACTTGATGCAGCAGCTGCAACGGACTGATTGCAGCACCGTACATGACCGAGCGTCTTGATCGTGTTGTGTCTCCACTGGTTCGTTTGCTCTATGTCGTTTTGTAGGTGTTTTGTCTGTTATTTTTCGCTGCTCTTTGTGTTTTGTTGCCTTTTCGTTCGGCATCTTTGTTGTCGAGGGAGTGTGCGCTCTTGGTGAGCGGTTTTGTTGATCGTTTTTTAATTGTGCTTTCTATCTGGTTGTTCTGTCAATGAAGCTTTGTGTGGATAAAGCTATGGTGAGCCTTTTTGCAAATCAAAGTAATATATTCATAGAAGAGGAGGAGAATAGGGGTTTGATTTTGGAAGCAGATCCGATAGGGGATGACAGTGAGATTGATGGGTATGTGTTTCTTTGTGGTGGCATACTGGCATGGGTGGTAACGGATAAATCTGTTCGCCCAATTGCTTTCCGTGAAACAATGGCTAATGGTGTGGAGGCCGGTCAGAGGAGTCACCATTCAAGAAATTGATACTTCAAAATTTCTACTTCAGTTCTATCATGAAGGAGATATTAGTCGGGTTATCAAAGATGGGCCTTGGTCTTTTGATCAAAATATTAGTTGTCATAACCATGTTGGAGCGAAAAGATAGACTTATTGAGGTGTCTTTGAAAGAGGATGACTTTTGGGTACAAGCTCACAATCTCACTCTCGGTTACATGACATTTAAAGCTGCTTGGGGAATTGGAAGTAGTACAAGGTCTTTTGTTAAGGTTGACGAATGCATTATTTGTGGGAAATGGAGATCAATTCTGCGTACAAGAGTGACGATATATATTAATAATGTCTTGATTAGGAGATTGAAGGTCAGATAGGAAGATGACAGTTGGATTTGGTCGGATCTTCGATATGAGAGGCTTCCAAGGTTCTGCTTTTTATGTGGGGTTTTGGGACATATAGTTCGTTTTTGTCCATCTAATGTTTTCACTGGACTTTGGATTGAAGAGAAGCCATATGGAGCATGGTTACGTGCAAATATGAGAAGACGTGGTGTGCATCCAGGAAATAAGTGGTTGATCCCTAGTAAAGGCAGTTCAATCTTTCAACATGAGGGTTCAATCAGTTGGAGCAATTTATCCAAGACTATCATGGTGGATCATGGCAGATACATAGTCGAAGGGCTAATCTCCAAGGGAAAGGAAGTGATTGAAGTGGCTGATGGTGAAGTAATTCCAGCAAGAACGGATGTGGACTTTTGCGATGCAAGGTTTGGGCGACTAAGAGAGGAGCTTCCCTCAGATCCTTTGGCGGGGGTTGGACAAATTGCTGTCTCCTTGCCAATGGTTGGACAGGTGCAACAATACTGTTAAGGGAGTCTACCAAATTGTGGGGTTAGCGAGTTGGACCGCTATTAAACGTGATTTCAACTTTGAGTCTCATCCCAATGTAGCCTTTGTTATGACGAGTTTGTATCTTGTTATCGATTTTAATAATAATTAAGTTATCTTTTGCCAAAAAATGTCCTACTATATTGAATCCATCGATTAAGCCCTCATACTTAGAAAGCATCCGATTGGAATCTTAAACTCATGAGAAAAACTCAATTGGCATTATTAGTGGATTACACTTTTGGTCCCGTGACTATTATACCACTTCCACATTTAGTCCCTTACTTTCAGATTGTCCACATTTAGTCCGTGACTATTATCCCCTCACCACCCCTCGTCCTTCCGGCCAAAATTCTGACAAATTTAATGCAGATTTTAGGTAAGAAAAACCAAATTTAATGCAAAGACTGATATGAAAAACCCAACCTTATATAAAGTTAATGCATAGACTGATTCTGAGGCTGATAAGTGGACTAAATTTGCCGAAATTTTGGCCCGAAGGACGAGGGGTGGTGAGGGGATAATGGTCACGGACTAAATGTGGACAATCTGAAAGTAAGGGACTAAATGTGGAAGTGGTATAATAGTCATGGGACCAAAAGTGGATTTTTTCTTATTAGTGAGATACTTTCAGGTTTTCAGTATGAATTTCAGGGGTTCGGCTCCTCTCCATTTTTTCTTCTCCATTTCTCATCCATTTTTTTTCTTCCTACCTCTCTCTACTTTTTTCTTTATCTTACTCATCCATATACCTCACCTAAAATCCGCTCCTCTCTATCTCTCTCCCACTGGAATTCTCTAGTTACTGGAGATGATTCAAATTCGAATTTCAGAGGTGTCAAGTATGTGAAATTTAATTTTATTTCCCCCTGTTTTTCTATATTTATTTTTCACGTACACTAATTTTTCTTCCGCCCTTCTATCTATTCATGGATTACTTAGAAGTTCAACATATCCTAAAAGTGTCAAATCTCAAGCACCTCTCTCATTCTTAAACCTTCTTCCTCGCTTTTCTTTCTCCGGCTAGGGCGAATCATCTTCGTACAAAGCTTTTTACCACCGCTACACTCTTGTAAAGGCTGTCGATGCTCAGGTAGTGGATTGTGATTGTGTCCTGAGCGGGATTTGAGGGTTCCGCCGTAGGTTACCATCATTGGGGCGCTTGCACTCCTCTGCATTTTTCCTGACCATCTTCAACCTCTAATTGCAATGGAGATATAACCTCGGCTAATTTGGGCTCAATTTTAGATCTACATCTTAAATTTTCAATTAATATATAGATATGGAGAACGGAAACAAGCTAAAAAAAGCAAAATTCTTCTCTCATTTGTTAGCCAAACCACATATACAACATATGTGACAAATTGAGAGTGCAAAATTGAGTATACCCCAGTGACTCCCTGTCCGCCAGCCGTCGTCGTCACCGCCGCGATTTTCACCAGTCATTAATCCAGTGACTTCCAGTCACTAACCGGTGACTTCTGCCCCAACTCCGGTCATTGATACAGTGACCGCCATCTAGCCAGTGACTGCCGCTGTTGTTCGACCAGTGATTGCCGCCGCCTCCGGCCAGTGACTGTCGCCGCCCCTAGCTAGTCACTGCCGCCACGTACCAATTGCCACCACCATCCCACCATCACTGTGTTTCCCCACACTGCCCCTGCCCATCCCAACTCCCCATCACCGGAAAACCCCCACCCTGCCCCCATCCCGCTCTAGCCATGCCCCTCTTCCCCTAACTACTTCTTAAGCTTCAACTCCGACCAGCCAGTCCCAATCCTACCCTCCTCAACCCAGATCCGACCCGGCCCACCATTTCCCCTCCCCAGCCCCGACCTCTACCGCTAAGCCACCGCTGGCCGCCATCCCTGTAACTCGCCCATTTGAATCAACCTAAACCTAGCCGGATGACAAAGTCAAAGGTGATACAGATCTGTCCGTCATTGTTGCGGCCTTTCACATTTGACGGTCTTCGCCAACATCTTCAGCTAGAGAAAGGCGAAGAAGAAGGCTACAAACCTGGACGAGATGGTGTGGGTTGTTGCAACAAAGACGGCGACGACGGCGCGGCTTCGCAGCGACGAATACAACAGCATCGATGAAGTAGTGAACAACGTTGTGGAAGGTCAGCGACAAAGTCATGGAGGGAGCAACGTGGATTGGAGGACGACGAAGTCTCGAGGTTAGGGGCGGCGATGGCGTGGATTGGGCGGCGGCGAAGCCTTCGGTGTGGAGGTCGATGATTTTTGAGGAATGGCGAAGCGGACCGCGGACGAATGGGTTCAGGCTATTATTTTGAATGGGTTCAAGGCTGTTAGTTTGACTGAAGACGGACAGAATCCAGGCTTTTTATTTCGAATGCTCACTTTAATTTAATCACTTTTTTATCCAATTTATTAATGGTCATATGAAAGTGGGAGAGTGATACTCATGCTATTTAATATTCCATGAAATTATATGATTTCTAGAAAAAGGAAATAGTTGTTGCTTTTCAGAAAATAATGGTAAAGACATGTCACTCACTCGTAATAACTGACGTTCTGAGAAAGTAATCCTAGTCTTTAATTTATTTAAAGAGAGATGTTATAATTTTGTTGCATATAGAAAAAAATTCGCATAAACTATAAATATCACCTAAACTGAGGCATTTTCGAGACAGTTATCTACGCACCTAAATATAGCAGGCCACAAAAAGAAGAATCTATATATAAGCATGGCAGGATTAGCAGCTGAAGTTACTGTAGTTATGGTGCCTCTTCCAACACAGGGCCATCTCAACCAGCACCTCCACCTCTCCCGCCTCATCTCTTCCTACAACATCCCCGTCTACTACACCGGTGCCGCCACTCATGTCCGCCAAGCCAACCTCAGAGTTCAGGGATGGGATCCTCTCTCCATCCCGAAACTCAATTTCCACGAGTTCCCCACGCCTTCTTTCGAATCCCCCACCCCCGACCCCAATGTGAGAGCGCCGGTGCAACTAGTGCCAGGACTACTGGCCACGTTACGCCTCTGAGAGCCCCTCCGTAAATTCCTGGAGGAGCTCTCGAAGAAATCAAAGAGGGTGGTCGTGATTTACGACTTCTGGATGGCTTGGAATGTCCAGGACATTCCGAGCATCCCGAACGCAGAGTCTTATTGCTTTGAGAGCCTTTCGGCTTTCTCCGTCTACTCCTTCATCTGGGAGGGAATGCAGAAGCCGCCTCTTCCCGCCGAAGCTGAAATCCTCAACCATCTTCCCAATTTAGACTTCTGCACCTCTCCCAAATTTGATGAATATGGCAAGTTTCAGCTTGAAGCAGAGAATTTCAGCTCCGGGGCGATTTTCAACACTTGCAGGATGATTGAAGGGCCTTTCCTGGACTTGCTGGCCCAAGTACCAAGAATGGGCCAGCGCCAATGGGCCATTGGCCCGTTCAACCCCGTAACCCTACCGGCTTCCAGTGACCCGCGCCATGAATGTCTCGCCTGGCTGGACAAACAGGACCGGAATTCGGTGATCTTCGTCTCGTTCGGATCCAATACTGCACTCTCTGAGGAGCAGATCAATCAGATCGCTGTTGGGCTGGCAGAAAGCGGGCAGAGGTTTATTTGGGCCCTAAGGGAAGCAGATAAAGCTGACATTTTCGTCGCCGGAGATGCCGAGAGGGCCGTCCTGCCGGCGGGATACGAGGCGAGAATCGAAGGGAAGGGAATGGTGGTGAGGGATTGGGCGCCGCAGCTGGAGATTCTCGCCCACCCATCCACCGGCGGGTTCATGAGCCACTGCGGGTGGAATTCGTGTATGGAAGCCATTTCCATGGGAGTGCCCATTGCCGCCTGGCCGGTGCACTCCGACCAGCCCCGGAACGCCCTGCTGATCACCAAGTGCCTGAAAATCGCAGTGGAAGTCGATGACTGTAGCACGCAGGAAGTGGTTAGCTCACGGAGGATTGCAGAAGCTGTTAAGAAATTGATGGCTTCCGGGGAAGGAGAAGAGATGCGGCGAAGGGTAGAGGAAATGAGCGGCGCCGTCAAGCTTGCGGTGATGGAAGGAGGTGCCTCGCGCCGAGAAATGGATTCTTTCATTTCTCATATCACTAGAGACGACTGACTGACTGAGTATAACGCCTTTTTTAATAAGTGGGTGCTGTATTTGCATCCAATTTAGAATAGGGATAAATACCTCAATATTACTAAAACTCAAGACTTTTCCTAAATTATGACTATACATGTTTTTGTATGTAATATATAACCAAACACATACATGGGTTGGTTACCATACTTAATTAATTCCTTATTGATAGTGTCGTTACCACTCATGGAGCATTACATTAGGATGTTAGATTAGGAATAAAACTAGTGGAGTCATATATTGGGAAAGATATATTGTTTTAGAAATATTAGTGATAATTATCTCTTTAGAATAATTCCCCTCAACAATAAATTAAATTTTCCTTTATTTTATGCATATTTATTTAGTCAATTAATTTTTCTCTTCAATATAACATCGATATATTCACCTAACAATTTTTTAAATTAAAACCTCACTTTTATTATTTCACCAATTTTTTACCATTTTTAATATGAATTATTTCGATTTAAAAAGTTGAACAATCCGATGTAAAAATACATAAATGTAGAGTTCATTTTTTTTTGTTTTTACATCATACTCATTATTGAAAAAATAACTGATAGATGTAAAAGGAATATTTAATCATGAGATCTTAATTTTAACACATTATCCTATTTAAGGAAAAATCTAAATATGAAAATATCTAGAATTTAAAATTTCATACCTCCTCCGGTCCTAAATAAACTTCACACTTTCCTTTTTAGGTAGGTCCAAAATAAACTTCACACTTCTTCTCCCTTTCTTATTTGACAAATTATCTACATCAAAACAGTGCAAAACAATGCCAAACAGTGTCAAACAGTGTCACAACATTGTACTCTACAGTAAAGTCAAATTTATTTTCTTAATTTGTGTGAAGTCAAAGTGTGAAGTTTATTTAGGATCGGAGGGAGTATATGTTTTTTTAATTTTGTATGTCCAGTATTGGTGTCATATGAAAGATCATAAAAAATTATGAATTTTGATAAATGTTTTATAAAAATTGGAATTCAAATAAAAAAGTAAGTTATAATACTTTAAATGAGTGATTTGAGTTTGCACCACATTTCATTGTCCAAGTTGGACTTTGCACCCCGTTTTTAAAATACTTTGTTTCTCACCCCAACCCCATATGAAAAGACAAAAATGTCACTCCATTAACAATTATGTTGGCTTTCAACATATTCTTGATCGAGTGTTCTTTTCATATGGGATTGGAGTGCATAAACACAGTTTTTTAAAAACAAGGTGCAAAGTCCAATTTTAATAATAAAATGGAATGCAAACTCATACTCCCTCCGTCCCTATATAAAAGTATCCATTCATTTTCCACACAATTTAAGAAAGTGGGATTGATTGATACCGTTTGGCACTGTTTGGACACTGTTTGGCACTATTTTGCACTATTTTGTTTGCCAAAAAAGGAAAGAGAACTTTTATTTAGGGACGACCCGAAAAGGAAAAAAATGTTTTTATTTAGGGACGGAGGGAGTATTACCTTACTTTTAAATAAAAAGATTTTTTGCTTGGATCCAATACTCTCTCCCCGCGAGGTAGCGTCCTTTTTGTTCCAACCGTCCTTCTTCCGTTGGTGAAAGAGGGAGATCAACTGATGAAGCCCGCAAGAGTCAGCATTCAAACAATGGAGCCGGGTGTACAAGGCTGACAAACTCCCCTCTCCTGGGTTCTGCCTATCCATTGCGGCACCTTGCTATACCATGTTTTTGTTGGGTTCGAGCTACTTTGGGGTGAAAATCACAAATTTCAGGTTTTCATAAAAAATTAGTTCAAGTACAAAAAATGTCACTGACATAATAGTTGTGAGACCAAAAACTTCAAAAACTCACTTTCATAACAATAATAATAATAATAATAATAATAAATACTCAATAATTAAATATTTTCAATGAATAATAATTAAAAAATAATGTCACTTGAAACCAGGGATAGCCAGGGCACTAGGTTAGACTAAGGAGGGATAAAGAATATTTTTGGGGAATAAATTACACGAATTTTTTTTACATTAAAAATTAAACCAATTTTTAAATTTGGGTGAGTTAGAGCCTAAATTGGCCCCCCTCTAGCTCCGCCCTCCACGCTATAGAATCAAATTAATAAATCAATATTTTTCGGGTAATAATTTTTAAAGTCATTTTTGACAAAAAGAAATTACAAAGTACGTATTTCAAAAGTTTCCGTTGAGACTTTAAAAATCCAAGAGTCATATATAACAAGTCGACTAGTGTAAACCCCGGGGCAATGCTCCGGTAGCGATGCATCAATTTGTGAATCATTCATAGGATACAATGTTTAATACTCCCTCCGTATCTAATTAGATGACCCATTTGTTTTTCACGGAGTTTAAGACAATTACTGTAGATTTTATAAAAAGTAAGAGATTTTTTGTACTGTAGCGGTACTGTAGTGGTACTGTAGCTGCTTTTTGAGTGAGATTCTTTCCAAAAAAGGAAAGGAGACAATTAATTTTATACACCAAAAAAGGAAAGTGTGACAAGTAAATAGATACGGAGGGAGTATATAACACATTTTTACTATGATGTAACCACAAACAATAATAAATTTTTATATGTTAAATGACTATATATTAAATTATCCACCATCATATATCATATATTTACTCTTTTAGTCTATATCAATGTTTTTTAATTTATTGCGGTAGCGTTGCTATTGCGGTCATTGGGATTGTAGGTATTGCGGCCAGTGCGGTGTAATCTAAGTTTACGTTCGAACGAAAATAAGAAAATAATTAGTGTCGATGTCTTGATACGATGCGATATGGCCCCGTTACGGTCACCTTACGATTTCGTTGGGTTACGTATGTAGTATAGATTTTCCCCATGAATTGATACTGCACCTCCATTGCAGCCCGACGCGATTGCGCTACAGAAAACAATCCCAATATTGCAGCCGCAACATGTGTTTCAATCCCGACCTATCCCCGTTGCGGCCACATTTTGTTGGGTTTCGTTGGAACGATGAAAGTACATTATTGATATTCTTGTAGTAGTTCATAATTGAAGAATAATAAAAGTGTTATGTATGAAACTTTTCGTGTGAAGATTTTGACTGTGTTCATAAATTATATGCATATTGTTATTATGTTTTCGTATCATAATGTATTTATTTACGGTATAAACTAAATGTGATTATGCATATAATAATTAAAGTATAATTTGAAATATAATTTACACTATGATTTAATGCACAAATCAATCAATAATTAAGCAAATCATGTAGGTGTTACAAATTATTTAGATGTTGTAATGTAAGAGTGAATTATTTTTTATATTATATGAGCATTTGTATCATGTGATCGATCGATGAGTTAAACAATGATTATAAAATTAAAATAATGTTAATATTTATTATGCCGAATCATTAAGAGAGTCACGCATAGCATTTCATAATTCATGTTTACTATGTAAAACAATAAATAATAAAGAATCCGGTGTTTTATATTTTTTTAAATGTACTCAAAAATGTAAAAATTAATTATGAAATCTTAATTTTAAGATTTTAATCTACTTAAAAAAAGTTTTGGACTTTTTTGACAAAAAAAGTTATAGGCTTTAAAATCTTCATCAATTGAATTTCACACTTTTTTATTTTTACATATGCAATATTGATGTCATATGAAAGATCATAAAGAATTATGAATTTTTATATATTTTTTATAAAAATTAGAATGCAAATAAAAAAGTTATAACAATTTGAAAAGTACAAATTTTTGCTCCTTTTTTCTCCAAATGAGTTGGCCTAATTAATGCCAATAGTATTCATGGACCGTGTGAACTTGCATTGAGAGAATTAATAAATGTTTTAATAAGAGTGATAATCAAATTTTTAGTAACCAATCACAGATTGACACATCATTGATTTAGAACTCAGTTTTACTATATAAAACAATAGATTGTGAGGACTCTTTAGACATGGCAGCAACCATGGTTAAGGAGCTCTAATGCTTCTTAGTTATGTGACCTTTTGAGAACTTTTATTATTTAGATCCTTTACTTTTTTTCTTTTATTAGTGTTCATAAGTCATTTTTCTATCTATAAAATATAATTTGCTCAAAAAAAGTACAAATCACAGTAGCAAATACAGTTAAGGTTAATGAAATATTAAATCAAATTCCTGAAATATATAAGAATTGTTATTTGCTCTTTATATGTAGATGATGGATATATATATATATATATATATATATATATATATATATAGAGAGAGAGAGAGAGAGAGAGAGAAAGAGAGGAATGTTCAAGTCCGAACATTCCCCGTCCGAACACCGTTCTAACAACGTCGTTCGGGGCGGTTCCCGGTGGAATTTTTTAATGAAAGTTTTATGGTATGTTCTTCATCAAGTCTAGTTTAACCATACCAAATTTTTTAATGAAATTTTTATGGTATGTTCTTCATCAAGTCTAGTTTAACCATACATAGAAAAACACAGTCAAATTCAAAAAATCATTTGAAGGCCTTCCTGATCGAACTTTGAGCTGAAATTTGGTATGGATAAACTAGACTTGATGAAGAACATATCATAAAAATGTAATCAAAACCTTCCACCGGGAACCGCCCCGAACGGCATTGTACGGACGGTGTTCGGACAGGGAATGTTCGGACCTGAACATTCCTCTCTCTCTCTCTCTCTCTCTCTATATATATATATATATATATATATATATAGACACACACACACACACTAGACATAGTACCCGTGCGATGTACGGGTGTATCTAGAATAAATAAAAATTTATTTCAAATAAAAAAAGATTTTCAAGTTTATATGTCGTAGCTTTAATTATTATACAATACTTCGTATATTAGTAGCGGTGAGAAAATAAAAGGGTGGTTCATATGAAAAATTGCAAGTAAAATTTTAAATAAACGAAAAAGCAAATTGGAAGATTATGGGGTGTTTGGATATGATTCTTAAAACTGCTGCTCCTAGGGAGGAGAAACAGAAGTTGGAGTGTTTGGGTGAAAGTGAAGAAGTGATTTTGGTGCTCTAATTTACTCATAGAATAAGTTTTTAGAAGTTGGGA